AGAAATATATATATATATATATATATATATATATATATATATATCAGTCGGATGCAATTTCTGCTACTCAGAAGTATTTCATCGTAGCCAAATTAGAATTCATGTGAAAAGTGTTTTCAGTCCAACTGATCCCATTATGGAGCCTGTCGTGCAGGCGTCCGTGACACTCCGTAAGCATAGAACTTGGGAAAACTATACTTAAAGACACAGTTATGCATAAATTGGAATTACAGCTACTCCTTGTACATTAGTCAGGCTAAATCGTCTGTACCATGGAAAAGAGGGAAACTGAAACAGAGGCCTAACCACACATAAAACAGGTTTGGTAGTTGCAACCGATTATATCAGAATACTCAGGAGATGAAAATAAGCAAATAGCAATGAGATTATTGCTCATAGCGAACACGGTCCAGTACTAGAAATAAACGCTCGTTTGCAAAGTAAAATGGCATCAGCGAGACACAAATGGACAGCTAGTACATTGATACGCCTAAAAGAGTGTTGGTCAAAGTCCGCTAAATGCTACGATTGAATTGATTTTCGGGACGTTGAAAAATTTAGTATCGTATTAAGCGCATATACACTAACTAAACTGTTTTTTCTGAAAGCTTATAGCTAAGGATGAACGAAAGGAAGACCTCCAGTTTACGCCTATCAATCGAACGATGGCCAGTGGAACACATGAAAAGTAATCTCAAGGAAGCTAAAACCAAAATGATTAGCAATGGATTTACCATGTTGTCACATGTCTCTATAATCGATTCGGAATATTTACTCGACAGATGCGTTTTGACGCCTTGGGTTTTGCCAGTTGGGTAGGCATGTAAGAAACCTCAATGCACATACCAGCGCTGCGCCATTTCCGAGCAACATGAAGTAAAAGTTCGACTTAAATGGTCACTTATTTTACTGCCGTATTTAATAACAAAATGGCGACTGCAGAGAACTGCGATTTTTTCACACAAAAAAATGGTCCTCAGGCTTTCGAGGATCAAAGAGTCAAAAATACCAAGAGCTGGAGAGGTCGTGCTTGGGTCCCGCGAAGACTGACCGAAAACAAAAGTGGCCTGAAGCTGGATGCATTGAAAAAGTCTCTGGTGGATGAGCAAGTAACGGTGCAGAAAGGAGTTGATATAATCTCTGCTACGTCTGGGAGAAGAACCGCCACTTAGACGGAATGGGGGAAGCAGAAAAGGATGTAAACCCAATCCGTCGTGTTCCAGTTAATCGTGGAGGAGAGCTGATCGGTAGTCCCTTGGATCAACTTCTTAACAAAGGCTGTTTACATAATAGATGAAAATGCAACGATTCACTCGCCCTATACATCCTAACGTAATCGGATCGACTACCGATTAGCGTTATGGCCCTAGGAGCAGGGTCGTCCAATTGTGGCTACAAACCCTGCTTGGTGCAAAGTTACGGTGTCATAGTTCATTGTTATAGGACATGGTATGCAGCTAGACACCCGCAACCTAATGCTTCGTGACAAAATCCTCATTAAAATGTACAATCACTAAATTCTTCAGGACCGCTCCGGCCCATTCCAGAGAGAATAAGTCGAAAACGTTATTCGTTTGAAAGGGGTTATAGTGTGGTAGATGGAGTTCATACCGAATGATACGATGAAGAGTAAACGAGCATGATGAAATCAGCAAATTTGGAGTGGATGAGGGAAGATGGGAGCAAACTTACCCTGGACTTTGCCAGTTATTGTGTAAAGTTGAAAGGTCCAGACCCGGAGCTAACATATTCAACGTCGTATCGTAGTCTCCTACTCGAATCAGCTTCAATAAGCCCACCATACCGAACTGATCGCATATCATATTTTTCGGAATATTTGCCACAAGGTGGTTTGGCAAAAGCTGGATACCAGAACCCATGGATACGGCATTCACTGATGTTGCAGCCGTTCCTACGGGCAGTGGTGATCCAGATGCTTGAGTGAACGTCCGATGTGTGCCCAGTGCGCTTCCACAAGAACCGGGAGTAACGGAGGACGGATTAATCACCATGGACCTATGTACTGTCCCAGAGACAGCGGTCAGATTTGACAATGACGTGGAGGTGGAAGTATTAGATGCAGAAGTATGCTGGCCTGGAAGAGCCGGAAAATCTTGCTTTGAAAACTCAGGAGTGGCTTGGCTTGTGACCGTGTGAGTGAATTGACTAATAGGGCTTGCGCCTGAGTCCGACCCGAGTGATCCTTTCGACATTACAGAAACATAATTACGGAGAGGAGGTTGATTCGAAGAGGCATGGAACGTTCCACCAAGTGAACTACTTCCACCGCGACCAACGGCAGTCAAGATGGGGGGAAATTCAGCAGGATCTAACTTGACGCCTCTCGAGGATGAGGAAGTCAAACTCGTGTTAGTCGTCCCAGGTTCGCTGGTTAAACCCGAAGAAAAAAGGTTGCCAGAGGTTCGAGTATTGTTGGTCGCCAAAGATTCACTTGTTGGTCTTGTTGAAGTTCCCGCACCAACAATGCGGCTACCACCCAGGTCATGTCCCATCGTCCGATTAATGACGGACAGAGAAGGAAACAACGATGGCTCAGAAAAATTCCGAGGAGGACAAGACTGTCCACCATTGTATCCGATCGCGTTGAAATAGGAGGAAACGTCTTCAGGATTTGTATCTGCTGTATTGGAGTATCCAGGTCGTAAAGAAAAAGCACCGGTCGCAGGGTTCAGTACGTCCCCATTGTGCTGCGAGGAACCAGGTCTGGAGCTGTAACCGGAGGGACAAAAGGCGGCCATGTCGCTGAAAGACGGCGCACCTACAGTACTGCTAGGACCAGTACTGAAAAGAGCCTGTGGTGTAACAGAATAAATGGCAGTGACATCAGATACCCTCCTCTTCATGAGTAACATAAATTTATCATGAATACACACAACCGTCGGTAAAGTTAACCACACACTGAATTGCACTACTGCAGTAATAAGCAAGGTGTTACTTGTTAAATATGCATCTTGCTCTATGAATATTAATAAAACATCTAGGTCCATACCACAAGGCGAAGGAACTACAAAGCTACAAATGTTGTTACCGGAACTCGCGACAGCTCACGAGTTCGAGATAGCTCAGTAAATAAGGCGCGAACTTACTTACTGGCTCGAACCTAACCGTGCCTAGCTGCCATGCCATCCGAAGGAAGCATGACGGCTGGGATACTGCCAGGTTGCCCAAGTCTAGACAGCAGAAGTGGAGATGCAGAGGCCCGGTTCTAACCATCGACCTACCGGTTAATAAATTCTCTTCCCAACGAACAGAAACATCGATTCCGCTCTAAAGGGGTCCTGATTACACGGGGTCAGTAGAATTTTACCATTGGATTTCTGGGAACAAGACCAATCCCCGTTCTTAAAAGACTGGAATATTTTCTCAATTTTGTGTAAATACTCGCTAACAGAGGGACCGCCTTTCAGAAGCCAGAAAACACTGGCATTACTTAGCATAGTAATCGACTTCTGCTTAACGATGATGAGCCAGATGTCCGAATGCTAAGTTTGACTCCGCTAATTATGTGATGCTCGCTACGGTGCTGATTAATTAGTCCGAGAACTGAACTTGCTTATTTCCACTGCATAAGATAATGAATATACCTTAGGATCTTGATTTAAGCTTTGGCTGTTCTAGTCAAACTCAAAGCCGTTCAAAGACAAATTCGGTGTTATTTTATTTACCACGGTTCGAGTCTTAAGACGATCCAGACAAGAGAAATGAGGTTTCTCTGATCCTCAAAGGTCAACTGCAGGTCATCTAGCTTAGTCAAAAAGAGGTCACACCTAAACCAAGTACAGTCGATGAGTTGGTTACAACGTCGTTGGGAAATGGATCCAAGAGATCTTTGTTTTCCGAAAACAAGAGTATTGTGGTTCTTTGTTTCTCGAAATAGTTCGGTGGTGGAGGTATTATATACTAATCGAAAAGTCGAATTCAGACCTGGCTCTCCGACCACTCATGGTTATGCCTTAGCAATATGGCAAGATGGGACCGGTTGCGTTCCTTTTAGAGTACAGTAGCTGTTACCGTCAGGGGGCGAGATAGTTCAAGTGGTAAGAGCGCGAGTTTACTGACCGGAAGATCCCTGGTTCGAGTCCGACCTCTGCCTCTCGACTTTCCCTGTCTAGGCTTAAGCGACCTGGCAGTATCCAAGACCTCGTGCTCCCTTCGGGTGGCATGGCAGCTAGGCACCGCAAGGGTGTTACAGCTGAACGATGCCTGAGCAACCTGGTGCAGCCTGCATGCTTCCGCATGTCGGCAGTGCCCTGAAAGGCTTACACAGGTAAACGAATATAACTTTTATTATCCTGGTTAAATTCAATCTATTTGTCAGTGTTCGTTCAGCTGTAACACCCTTCAGGTGCCTAGCCGCCATGCCACCCGAAGGAAGCACAAGGGCTGGAATACTGCCAGGTTGCCTAAGCCTAGACAGGGAAAGTCGAGAGGCAGAGATTGAATTCGAAACAAGGACCCGACGGTCGGTAAATTCGCGCTCAGCCACTCGAGTCATCTCGCCAGTGCGAAAATATTTCACAGGCGAGAGAATGAAGGAGAAATAAGAAATGAAAGCATACATTGCAAATTCCCTATAAAACGACTATGCGACGGACAGGCGTTCAGCTTTTCTCCCTTTGATAGAGACAACCACGACCAAAGCTTAATGATGGTACCCAATGAGGGACCATTGTATTTAAATCTATTCAAAGTGAGCAATTAACTCAATTAATTATTGCATGGGTCTTAAGGGAATACCACACAAAGGTTGTGTGCAAAAATCTACCAATATATTATCTTGGTACTGAAAAAACTAGCAACTGTCCAGACTTCAGTAACCTTGTCAGTCAGTTATCAAATAAGATTAAATTGTCAAGAAATCATTCAGCTGTAGCATCCTTTCTGTGGCTAACTGCCATGCCAGCCGAAGGAAGCACGAGGGCCGGGATACTGTCAGGTTGCCCAAACCTAGACAGGAGAAGTCGAAGAGCACAAATCAGGTTCGAACCAAGAACCTTCCGGTAACTTCGTGTTCTAACCACTGAGCAGTTTAGGCAAAGGAGCCTAGGCTGTTCGGTGGATAACGTGCGTTTTAAGCCAGCAATAGAGCAACCAAACAAACGCAACGTTGCTTAAGGCTACTAACCAGTGGGATAGCAAACGGAAGAACGGGGAATAAGTGAACGAATCAGGGCAACTAATGAAGCGAAACAACAACTAACCATCAGCATTATTGTAAAAGATGTATAAACCTTGACTTATTAAGGGTTTAAGTTGCGCAACACATGATACTCGACCTGTGAGCCAAAATTAAGAATGGTGCCAGTGAGACGTTTTCCCTGCTATAGATTAATACACGGAAAGAGAAGAGGTACCTATTGAATCCAGAGATAAGGAGCCTCAAAAAAAAGATGCATCATATCTTCAATGCCCCAACACCCAGATCCTAAAACCGCAAAACAACGTATCCACAACGTAGCCTAAATGAATTTAACCCAAGACTATCTATATATTAGTGTCTAGCGAGATACGAAAATCATTGTGACCTAGGTGGACACGCAGCAATAAGCCAACTTCAGACGTTATCGCTGAATCAACTCATGAGTGGTAGGACTACAAATGTCGCTCTATGCCAGGGTACAATACGGAGACGAATGGTTAACAATATGGATGAAAAGAATTAGCAACTCAAGCTGACCCACATAATAAAGCTTTAAAAATGTTCAAAATGCTCAAAAATGCTCAAAACAAGGGGCGAGTTAACAACAGAACAAAGAAACCCAATGAGAGGCGCGACCGTGCCGCAGAAACTGCGGAAGTGATGGACACGTTTTCATCTCACAAAGGCTAGTTTCGCGTTCCAACATGTTGCCTCACGCATAGGACGCTAGCAACAAATCAGTTTGGAACCCTCTGCACACTTAGTATATCCTCTCGATGCTCACTGCAAGTGAGTAGTAGCCACAAAGTATAAATGTGCTTTCCGCCATTTTTGTTAGTGACAAAAAAAGATGGAAACCAACGAGGCTGTAGATGCTTACACCTACGATCATTTCGAAAAATTTTATGGAGTAAGGGAATGTAGGCGACGATCGGTTCAGACTAGTTCAGCTTTTCAGCTCAAAAACCGTGCAGTGAATCGTGGTGGTTCCAGCCGCTATAGCTTCGCTCACTGGCGGTAAATAGAATGAGAGCCACGCGTTGGAGAAAATGACTCAATGTGTATACTAACTATAAAAGCATACTTGTCCAGTATCGCATCAAGTGGGACTATGTAGTGAAGTCAATGGCTTAAATGTAAAATGGAAATTGGCTGCATGACACGGACATCTGTCAGGGTCATTGGCCATTGGTCTTGTCCCGCGGACGGCGGTTATCAACGGGACTGAGTTGACTGGTGAGGTTTTCCATGTTTTGGTGCCAGACCAAGGACTGACCACCCCTGGGCCGACTCCATCCGATACAAGGCTCGGCGAAGAGGTCTCTACGAGACAAATGGTTCTATATCCTAAGAAGCATATGGCTTACCCAAAGTAACCTATGGAGTGTGACCAGTTGGGGGGGGGGGGAGTTGGCTAAGTGGTTAGAGCGTGGTTAGTGGTTCGAACCAGAACACTGTCCCTCAACTTCCCCTGTCTAGGCTTGGGCAACCTGACAGTATCCCAACCCCCATGTTTTCTTCTGAAAAGGTGCTACAGCTGAAAGATTTTCTACCAGCTGGGCCATCGAGGTAGGATGAACTTTCTCGCAAACCATCTATCCTTCTTCAGTATTACTGATGGCAGACTCGCGCCACGCTTAAGAGTCACATACATCCAAAAATAAGGAGTAATCGAATGTCTTCCAGTCATAGCGACCACGTCCCTGATGCACAAAGTGGAACAGATTGGACCGCGACACTATATCCTTGACAGTCAAGCTGTTGTCACGTCAAAGCCACAAATATGAGTAGCAAACACCTTGTCTTTCATCTTTCGCGGAGCGGCAGCACGTATGCAGATGCCCAGGTAAACGAACTTAACTTACCTACTGCACCGATGGATTTACGAGCAATTTTGAGGTTTGGGTTTGGTCACACCCAGTCTTGCAGCAACACTTTGGATGTTCGAAGCGCATCCTGAACTGTGCAGCAGAATCATTTAGGCTATTTAAAAGTTTGCATTCCTAAAGTGTCTGATCCAAGAAGAGCAATGCCGTCAGAGTACTTAAAGCCCATGAGTGAATCTCCCAGTGGTATCCGGATCCTCGGTGTGAGGGGTAGGTACGGAGGTAGAATACGATGTTGAAGAGAAGGGGTGAGGTCGAAATGATCCAATTGTTAGGTCGTAAACATACTGGCCGGAAGGTCCGTGGTTCGAAACCGACCCATGTATCTCGAATGCTCCTGTCTGGGTTTTGGCAAACTTGACACTATCTCGACCCTCATGCTTCCTTCGGGTGGTATGGCAGCTAGACACTGAAAGTGTGCTACAGCAGTACAATGCTGATGTATGAAAGAAAAGGCGACAAGACATCCCTGCTTGATACCACTGCATGTGGTGGAATGGGTGGAAGGTCTGTCGCCGACACAGCCACCAATGGGAGGAGACATATAGGAGAAAAGAATTTAGAGGGGGGCATTCTTCATCATCATGCACTGCCAGTTTCTGACGATCGACAGTCATAAGCATATCTGAGATCGACGAAGACAATCAAATCTGATCGTCGGAAGGCAGGGCGCAGTTCCAGTGCTTGTCGCAAAGTGGAGATATGATCGATGTAACCTCGACCCGGCCAGGGCAGGTTCTTCGCGAATCTGACTCACTTGATGGTAGACCATCTTGCTGAGGGTGTCACAGAGCAACTTGGAAGCCATGACCATTTGGATGACGCTACGACGTTCTTGCACCCTTCGAGTATGGGAATTATCATTGAGAAGCTTCATTCCGTTAGAATTTCTTCCTCATTCCAGACGGTTTGTAATATGGTCGTTAGGGTATTCACGAAAGACTCATCACCCAGTTTGAAGAGTTCCGAGTGCAAATCGCGTGGTTTAGGTGTTTTTTTTTTGCACTGGAAAAACGATATTGCACGCAAGACCTCCGTCGTCGATGGCGGTCTGACGTCAACATACCAGTCTTCACTCCTGCCAAACTGGACGAATGGAATCACCCGGAGCCTATTCGCAAACCGGGTCAAAATACCCAGCGCGGGGAATTCATCCCTTTATTCTCCTCATCCTCGACAAACGAAGCTTTAGTAGGTGGAACCACTGCGGTTCAGTGCACGATTTTTGATGAGCTAACTGAACTGGAAAAAACCCTTGCAGCACATTCAGCTTAAAAACGAGTCCCTCAGTTGTATGCTTATGTAAGAGTCTATTTAAATTTTTAGAAAACTGTGAACCGCGTTCGTATGTTATATAACTGACTGATAACCGTCAAATAACTTTGGGGAAGAACTAACTCCTATCTTCATTGTGAATGACTCCCACTTTTTGTCCCTAAATCTGACATTCTTTATCTTTTATTCTAATGGTGCCACCCCTACTTTTATTCTATGTTGTTGGGATATAAGACGACGGACACTGATGATTGGAGGATGACAGGACCTAGCACAGAATTTCCTAAAATAACACAGCCCAGCTTCAGACATCCAGCTACACAAAGAAAATACGGGGCAGACGTTTATGTGAATACCTACAAAACTACACCTAGTTAGAGCTTACACGCTTGTTGAGGGTTTCCCCACAGTTTGTAACATGTTTCCCACAGTCGCGCAAAACTGATCTTCCCATCGTGTATCTAGAATTACGTGACGAAATAAAGATAACCCTACTGAGTTTGACTGTTCCAAGGGGCAGTATGATCAGCAGAAGTGAAACGCCTGAACATGATAGGCAAAATTAAATGTGGTTACTCACTGTCCTATTCCTGCCATAGGAGGTACACATCTGGTATACGCCAGTCTGTGAAGAAAGCTTATCAATAAAATCCACAGAAATTTTCTTTATGCCGGTCACTTTGAACAGAATATGGACTGTACGGGAAACCCAACGCCGTGGAGAGAACAAAGGGCGAAGATGGAACTGGGTCTTAACAGTGGATTCCCGCCATTCAATACGAATTGCTTAGATGCGCCACCTTGCAGTTCCAATTACTGTTTATTAAACTGGAAGTTCTGAGATATTTGGCACACGTGAATGTCTTAAATTCACTAACTTTCACCTTACCACGATTGCCATATTTTGGTTCCGCGCGCGAAATTTGAAGTTTGTCGGGTGCAAAATAGGGGACGCTTATCTTTGTTATCAAAACGGCCGGAATTTTCAAAAGCTGATAAATTTGAATCTTCTTGTTAAATATAAATGGAATTTATGATCTTTTACTTCCTTGTTCAACAGGCTATGGGTTGTATTTCGAAGTTTTTATCCTCAGAAAGTACTCCTCCGGGTGGCAAACCAGGCCTTTCCAAATTGGGATCTTCAGCAATCGCACTCACTTTGCGTGAATAAGAGACGAAATTTGACATTGCTACTTGATATCCCTCAGTAGAACAAGAGGTATGGCGAATCGGGGTGCCGCATATAAACACCAGTAGTCTATGCGGATTTCAATCCGAAGGTGACACTTGAAAAGACCACATCATATTCGACAAGGAAAACCGATAGATGCTGGCAGTGCGTCATGAAGATTGAGGATTCCACTCCCGCGTCTATACCGTGCAATTATTCATTAGTGAACCATAGTTGATAAGATCTTGGTAGAATAAAGCCCTCTCATGGGTATTTCTCGATCGACTATGTCGGGGGACTACGGTGCCATACGGCATACTTCTGCCGAAAGATCTCCGTCGGAAGAGCCAGAGAAGGCGTGGAACCTCCGTTTGAAATTTCAGTGGGCAAAAACCTCTCTGCTTTACCGGTGGCGACGGGTGTACTTAACCACGGCACAACCGTCGGGGCTATTTTCGTTGGAACGTTTGACGAGATTTGAGCTTAAAGCGGTACTGCATTCCGCGAGTTGCTTGCTTGGCTGCCAGAATCTTCACAAGCAACGTATTCCGAGGATGAACAGGGACATCACCCACAGCAAGCCTGTTTCTTCCGGATATTATCCTTTTTCATCATGCCCTCGTTTTTTATTTAGAATACAGTATCCGTCTCGCTGGTGTCCTCAAAAGATGGTTTATAATTCTCACCGTATAGCGCTTTGAAACAGGTTTGACACCCAGACCCCGTCAAAGCTGCTTCAAGAGTAGACTGATTAGGTGAAGTTTTTCAGAGAAAGGGGGAAACGCTCACTACAGATATAACACATTGCCTGTTGCAAACATGTAGTTTATCTCTGCTTGCGTAAAAAAATTCAGTGGTAGATTTGAGGGATTATTCGAGAAGCCGAAAGAGCTGCTATCAGCCCCGAACTTTGATGAAAAGGCGAAAGAACACCATGGTACGGTGGCATTTACATTTCTGCGCAAAGCAACGTACTCTGCTACTCTGGACAGCTCCACGTCAATGGGAGGTTAGCCGGCAAATACACCACAGGAGAGTGTATGTTACTGTTGACACTGAGCAAGTCATATTCAAGCCCACAGCCACATGCACAAGCGCGAGGAAGATTATACGATCTCTAGCGGCACCACAGATACTAGGCCATACCAAAACTCAGAAAAAGACCATTTGCACTAAAAAAACCAGGGCAAAGCGGAATACATTTTTCGCCCCCTACAGAACCCAGAATAGTTTTCTATGAAGCTCTTTAAGAGAAATTTTGGAGGTATGGAGGTGAAAATGGCATGAGTGCCTGTTTCCATGGACAAGCAACCCTTAAGCGGGTAATGAAAGAACCCCACAAACTAAACATTACACGATATGACATTGTCTAACCTCCAATTACTCGAGCAGTATTCTGTCGCGGGAAAATAACCTGGGACTGTTCTTAGAAATGCCTGTCATGTTGTTGCTGCGCGATGGAAGGAAAATGGTCCCAGCCAGAACCTAACTGGCGGACATCATGCATCTTACTCATCAACAAAACTCGCAGCAACGCTACGTGCCTTCACAGATGTGCAAGACCGCAGAAACCCTAATTTTCAGCTGAAGAGCACAATTGGCTTGCAATCAAGCAATGGTTAGTCAGTCATTCAAAGAAACTCAAGCTGCATGAAAGCCCTCCTCAATAGTGGCCACTCTACGAAGAAAAATGTTTTGAGGAATGCTCAGCTGCTCGTGCATGGTAAACCAGTCAAGCTTGCTGCAACCCGCAATTGTGTGCTTTGCTCTAGGTAGATTATGAGCACAGTGAAATCAAACTTGCCGGGATAGGATTTTTGAGGGTTGCGTTTCTTCTTATGACAATATCGTCACAGGCAGGCAGTCTGAGCTCCTCTCAAGTTTTGAGTGCATCATAGTAGCTGATCACAACCAAGCTGTCAATGAACCCAACATACTGCATCGGCCTTTCTGAACCGATTTTGCTTTGGATGAAGGCGCGACATGCGAGAGTTAGAATAAACAACCCTAGCCGCTGCATCAATGTTAGAAGGCCAAATTGGGCCGAGGCTATCGCTAAGGACTGCAACCATCTAACTGTCCAGTACGTCATCGTGAATCATTGTGGCTGATGACAATCAGCGTTTTTGACGAAGTAAATTGATCCCTCGCTCTCCGCGGAATGTTCGATCATATGCATGAGCACTTTGACGAACACAGTGTTCCATAATTGTTTTGCAGGAAAATTTCGAATGTCAAATCAAGCCGCCGCGCACACTTTTTGGCGAAGTAACGCTAGCACTGATTTTTCTCCACCTTTGTCCCCCACATCTTTCGGATCAGTAACATTCGCCAGTTGAAGCTGAATCTTGTTGCAAGCTAACACCAAATTAAAGTCTTCTGCTGCCTTGTGCTCATGTGGTTACAATTGCTCACGAAATTTCGATGGACTTTGAGGCAGTCAATTGGGTTTGGCTGAGGAGAGCAAACCTGCGAAGGTGCCCTTCGGCTCCCCATACGGTACACTTTGGAAACAACCGTCTGTGTATTAAGGAGTGACCAGAGGCATCATTTGGATAGTCATGGAGCTAAAAGAATAAAATAGATCGGTCGAGCAAACAGTAAAGTAGGCCTGATGCGTCGGCCTTTGAAGGGGATATTTACGAGACTCATGTATTTTGTGTAGCGCTTGAAGTGCTCAAGGATCGAAAAGTAAGAACTGAAACATGTACGATATAAGATAGCCTTGGTTACTTGTCAACGTTCCGTCTCCAAGTAAGCAAGAACTTGGGACGCGTTTTTCATATGCCTCATTGTTGGATATGAAACTGCTTCACTGAAACTAAGGCCCGGTGAAACATAAATATGAATGATCAGGAACCGGTCGTGGGCTGTCGATGGATTTTCAGCAACCTTATGAGTAGTACATTACACAGATGAATGATCAGACTTTATCCAACCACAATATACTGCATTGCACTGCCGGGCAAAGGCACCAAATGGCAGGCTCTTTCGAACCCATAAATCTGCCTGATGAGGACAGCCGAGAAACACTAGGTGGTTGCTTGTTCCTCGGAAACTTTTTCAAATAAAGCAAGGGCGGACGTCAAGCTTACATACCGCTTTTGAGGATTAAACTTGTAAGTAATAAAAGTTTTCACACTGTGCTCTTAAAGTAAGCAAAATGGTGTGGCCACTGAAGCCATATTTCCCATACGAAATGATGCTTTACAGGTGGACTGATGCATACGCATACGTCAAAGATGTGCAACCGGCGCTTTTTGCCCAGTTGGAGTTGACGAGGACAACTTTCCAGTTAAGTGTCGAGAACTGGCACGGGAAATGTCCTAGCACCATTGGCCACGTTTGAGTTACCGGAGAAGAGGGATTATTCAACAGCGGATGATCTTCAGACCAAAGTTGACCATTGAGCTAAGCGGCTTACGGCAGAACGAAACGGAACCAAGAGGGCATACCAGAAAAAGCGGATACTAGAGCTAAGCCATGCCTGGTCGATGGAAGGCTGTTCAATCTGCACGACACCTGTAAATAAAAACGCTCTGCAATGCCCATCTTTTCCCGGGTTGGTTGCGCTTAGAGATGACACTGGTTAGGATAAAAGCCGTTATCAAGATAGAGGGGATGAATGAGCTGAGGTCTCACTGTGGAGAGACGTTAACGAAACTACACACAAACCGTGTGCCCTAACCATCAGTACAGTTGATTGATGCCGGCCAAACATTGACGGACCGTCAGTGCAACCAATGCGTCTAGGCAACCTGCCGGTGCGGTATGAGTTCCTGATTAGTCCGCACATACAGCAGACAACTATAGAGACAATTTTCCTCGACAGCTTGGAATTCTTGCTTGACCGCAGTGGTCTCCAGATAGCCAGAGTTGCGCCGCCGAAAGAGAGTGGAGAATTATGGGCGGTTAGCTCAAAAACTGCTTGCATCTTACAATCGTGTTTCTGATACAGAAGACTCGTCAGTGGGAAGTGGGTACAATTTTAGAGTAAGGGCAGCTTGTTATACTGCTCTATTTGGAGTGAAAACAATAGAAGCAGTCAAGGAGATTAAATATCCAATCTTCGGGATAAAATTCAGGATACCTAGGAATGTCAGCGGCATGTGTCGTGGCTAAAATCAACTTCGGAGGACCAGGATCATCAGTCTCAACTAATGATCCACCATTTGGGAATAAACATTGTCCTTATTGTGTTTACCCATACGGTTCTCTGCTGTTTATATTAGTGCATGCTTTGAACTTCGGCAATGACCGGTTTGGATGATCTGGTTGGTTGTTATCCACTCCACATGGCCTGTGATCTACCTACATAGGATCCTCAAACGGACCAAAAAGCTTGGGATCTTACTTCAGCTTCACTCTGCTTTTGTTTCTTTGGCCAGCCTGAAAGGAATCCCGCTGCTCAAAGAATCGCCCATCCCAGCCTAATGACTTCAAATATGACATCCTTGACGGTGCTGTCCAAAAAGGAAAGTATGTCACGCCAATGATGACACGGCACTGCCATGTAAAGCCTAATGACACACCCACAACATTTTCCTCCTTTTCTCGATCGTAACCTCTCATATACTTGCTCCACGAATTGCAAATAC